CGGGGGGAGCAGGCTGCGGGAAGGAAGCACATCTGGATTTTGCAGTCTCATCGTTGGCCGTGGGAGGCCTTCGTGGCCGGCGTGGCCAGCGTCCGGCGCGGGGCTGCTGGCGCTCTGCCTGGCATGGCCGTGGCGGGGCCCACAGTCCCTGACCGCCGGCCCATCCCTACCTTCAGGCACTTCAGAGAAAAACTAATGATGGCCTCGGTGTCATGGATGGTGTGTCCTCTACCGTGTGGACTCCCCTTGCCTGTCCGGAGAGGCCAACAAACAGAAGGGGCGCAGGGGACCCTGGCCGTCCTGCTGTTCCCGTGGACACGCGTGCACAAGTGCGTGTGTGACTCTCCTTCATCTGTCTTGGCTGTCACCTCTCGCTTCCCAAAAAAAGAGCAGGAAATAAACATCCAAATTCATCTTTCGTCAAAGTGAAGTTTTGCTGCAAAGGAAAACATGATTCGAACCCTACGGGATCTGGAGGTAAAGCCGCCGAGAGTCGCTGAGAGGTATCGGGCAGCCCAGTTCCCTAGAGCTGACCGCCCGAGGGGAGAAACTCATAAGGATTTCTTTTTTTCTTTTTCTTTTTTAAGAAAAACCTTTCAGCCATCGCTCACTCCGACATTGAGATTTCCAGAGTTTGTGTGTTTGTTTTCCCTTATTTCACGAGACGTTTCTGCATGAGGTATTTGAAAAACTCAGGAACATTTTGATTCTTGAAGTGCGGGAAATAGATTGGCTCCCTTCAAACTTAAGAGTGAGAGCCTCACCCTCAGAAACTCCTAGAACGTGGAACCCGGCAGACACTTCCCATGGTGGTCAGGAGAGAGATCCCACAGCAAAGGTGATACCTGAATATGCACCAGTTAGCAAAAAAAAAAACAAAAAACAAAAAAAAACCAACAACAGAAAACAACCAACAAAACCCCCGCCGCCCCCCCCCCCACACACAGCTCAAAGGGAGTTGGAACTCCAGTGCAGTAAAGAAAGCTCGGGAAAGGGGGGAATTAAGGTCCGAGGAGTCCGTGTAGGACGTAAGAGCAACCAGGCCTCAGAACCAAACACTTAGGCGGTCGGTCCCGGGGACAGCGTCACTTTAGTGAAAGGAAGCTGCCCCAGGCGGGCAGGGATGGAGGTGGGGACTCGGTCGCCCCTTCTCGGAGAGCAGTGCTTTCCAGCTCCGGGGCGCCTCCCTTCTGGCCTCCGAGGCTGAGCTACGGAGGCCGCTCCCTGGGACATCCGACCACGGGGCATCCTGGGAATAAGACGGGATCCAGCTGCTGGCTCGGTGGTGCCAGGAACGTTATGCAGAAGCAAGCGGACTTCATGGACTGCAATCTTGACCACCTCCCCCCCCAGGTGGGGCCGGGGGACCCGGGGAGGCAGAGGGCAGCGGGTTACTGTGGATTTGAAATCCAAACAACATCCTGTCCTATGAAAGTTCAGCACCAGCTCCCTCCTGCTGTCTGCTCCCGGCCTCCACAGCCCTTCTGTCATCTTGAGACAATCCCGCAGTCAGAAGCCATCCCGTCTTCGGAGATGTGGGAGAAAGCGGCACGGTGGGGGCAGAGGGTGGAAACGCCAGAACCACCGAAGGGCTCTGCATGTCCATTTGGGCCACTTGGAAACACCAGGTTCAGATGCCCCGAGGAAGCGGGCATATCAAGTGGCCAGCGCCTGGGGACAGTGCCCTGACATCTGACTCCTCCGACCAAGGAGGCTGGGCAGGTGGCTGAGGAGCTCCTACTCTTCTGCAGCCTCGGGCTCTCCTCCCCCCTACCAGCTCTCTGTTCCCATTGAAGTCCGGGGGCAGGGAGGAGCGAGATGTGAGGGCCGGGGCAGTGGCAGCCTCAACAAAATCGAGAGGGCACTTTGCAAAGGGAGATGCAAAACAACCGGGAAAACATGCCAGAGGTCACCTCAAGGGCACAAGGCACAAAAAAAGAAAGCGGGAGGGAGGAATCAGTGGAACAGTGAACAGCCCCCACGAAATGCGAATTCCTGATGGGTACCACCCTCGAATAGCTTATATCGTTAGAGAAGTGGGGGGAGGGGGGAACAATACAGCAGCAATGCAAATGTAATCTTGGCTTCAGAGACAGTGTCTGACACTCCTGAGCTGTCGACCTGCCTCCACAAGGACAGTCACTTCAAGATTCGAGTGTTTGCTTCACAGCAGAAAGCTCTTCAGTGTCTGAGAAGTCACACCGTTCTCGGTTTTCTCGGATTTGCACTTGGTAAACTCGGAAAGTTAGTAGTTCTAACCCGAAGGCTCGATCGGGGAAGTCATAGAATCAAGCCTGCCGACGGATCTCCCGTGAAACACGGACCGGAGACTGAACCCCGAACGTCTACATCTCTTCGGAGTTTTGTTGCGAAGCCTCCAGCTTCATCTTTTTAGAGGGTGGCCCTCCTTCCAAATCCTTGGGGGAAGAGAGAGAAAAGAGAATGGCAGGTTAGCAGGCCAGGAGGTCAGTTTAGGGCAGCTGTGAGGTTAAAGGTCAGCCCAGGAGGGAACCAAAGGCAGGACCCTAGGGCCAGCCCAGCGAGCATGGACTTTAGGAGGTTCACAGACCTGCAGGGAACCCCAAGCCCAAACTCTTCCTGTGTCTCCCCGGCCTCAAGTCACCTAGGTCCCGCCTGTCCTGTCACACTGGCTTCCCTCCGGCTCCTCCCCCTGTGCCTCTAAGCCCTCCCTCCACCCCTCCTGGAGCAAGTGTCTCCATAATTAGCCGCTAGGGTAATTATTCATGCACACATTTAAAGTTTACTTCCCCAAGCTTAAAGACCTAGGCTAGCCCTGCCATGCTAACAACTGCTCCTTGGGGCCCAGCACAGGTGCCCGGCCCGGGCACAGGTATGTTATTCTGGCGAGAGGGTCTGTAGTTGTCACCAAATTCCCAGGAAGTCCCTTGACTTAAAGACAGGTTCAACAGTCGCTCACCCACCTCCTGCCTTGACCATCCCACTCAGATCTCCAAGCTGACCTGCCACCTGAGATCAACTAACTTTTTTTTAAAATTGAATTTATTGGGGTGACGCTGGTTAATAAAATGATCTAGGTTTCAGGGGTGCAATTCTACAATACATCACCTGTATATTGCATTGTGTGTTCACCACCCACCCCCAATGGATGCTCCAGTGTCTGTCTGGGGCGCTGCCACCTGCCTGGCATAAAGCTGGGCGATGCCCAGGGGTTCCCCTTCTCTCCACGCTCCCACACCCAGCCTAACAGCAAGTCCCCTCAACTGCATCTCCTGATGGTATGTGGGTTGACACGACCCCAGATTTATTCAACCGGATCCCTTTCGACGAACTTCCTGCCACTGCGAACATCTTCCATCCACACCCCCCCTGGGTCTCTGGGCGTCTGGAGTGACCCGCAGCCTGAAGGGCAGGTGCAGGTCCCACGGTACGTAGATGCCAACGTCTGAGAGGCACATCTCCGAGGAAGGCCTGGTTCAAGGCTGCACAACGTCCAGACCAAGGCCTGCTGAGTCTCGTCCTTCCCTCGTTTCTGCTGCCACGTGTCAGTTTCTCCCGAGGTACCAGAAACCACTCAGCACAGCGGGAACAGTTTTATTCGTCGACGCTGGGATACTGCTGAGTCCCCACTCCGCTTAAGTGAGCACAGAGGATTGACAGTGACAGTCATCACGGTCACCAAGCAACACGGAGGAGTCTCCTGTGTCCAGCTCCACTGTGTGTCACCCATGCTCTCACCTCACGGTACCCCGGTCCCATGAGGGCTCCGCGATCCCCTTTTGGCAGCTGGAAACACGGAGGCTCGGTGTGAGCTAAGTGACAAAGCTGGGATTCGAACCCGGGATGTCTGCTCCTATCCACCAGGCCACCTGCTTCTGCACTGTCTCATTCAGACCAGATTCTGACAAACGGTGATGACCCAGGAAGGGGTCCGGACAACGGGACTATGTGGTCAGTTGCAAAATATTTCCAAAGAATATTTTATCCAGAGTTGAGGATCCTGAAGACGTATCTTCCCAGCTCTACAGGAGGTTGAGTTTGGGTGGCTGAGAGCAGGCGATGCTTTTGTGGAAGCAAATCAAGTGACAAAGCTGAGGCTGAGACAAAGGCTCCTTCCTCTTCCTGCACCCTCCGGTGTCCCATGCAGCACCCAGGGCGGGACACAGAAGGATGCTCGCGCATCCGCGAACACACGAAGCCCCCATCGTCCAACGAGAAAACAACAAAGCAAAGTAACAAAACACCTCTCAAGGTACCCCCGACACCCCAACAGGCGCCCGGCCGACCTGGCTGCCCCTCTGAGGCCTCGATCGAGGTACCTGAGAGATTGAGGACGTCTCTGCAGCTAGACCCGCGTCTCCAGATGGCTGCCGCTCGACTTTCTCTGAACTGTTCGTCGAGTTTTCCACTGAAGACTGTGAATTCTGCTCGTCAGAAGCATCTGAGGGGAAAGCAAGACGACAGACGCTGTTCTGAGACACGTGATTTGCGGGGCCAGATGGACCCATTACTAAAAATACCCGGAAGCTGGGTAGCTTGGTGGCTGGGGGGCTTGGGAAGCTTATTTTTTTAGAGATGTTTTTAAGCATCCAGGCCACATGCTGGCCCTGTGGCCCCCAACCATTTCCTGCACCCCCATTACCTGCCAAGCGCCCCCCAGAACACCTCAAGGATGCCACAGGCTCAGCGCCGCGTGCGCACGGCGCCCTCTGGTGGACACAGCGCGCTCCAGCCACCGGGCTGCGGACTCCTCCCTCTCCCATCACAGAGCCGCATTATCCACCCTGGAGCCCGCAGAGGGAGCTGCCCCCGGTAAACACCGCGCTTAACAATATGGGTATTTTTCTGACCATCAGAGCAACGACTGATCTTTGCAAGAAACAGAAAACACAGAGAAAAATCTAGTTAGAGCCGCCAATTATCTCACGCCACCCAGAGCTACCACCCCAGTAACATTCTACAGGATTTAGTCCCGTTTTTCCAGCTGTTTCCCCTACACGCCCAGAATTATCCTCTCTCCCCAAAAGGGGATCATGCAGTATTTTAGAATATTTTTCATGGCTTTAAAAATTCCCTAAATACAAGAGCACACAAGATGGCTGCACCATGTTCTGTCCACGATCGCTTACTTCATGAATCCTGTTTGGCCAGTTATTTGGACTATGTCTAATGTGTGGGTCCCCCTGCTCCCCCACCACGTCCCTTTAGCAGAAAGAAGGTGCAGGGCGTGGCAGGGTGCGTGAGGCAGTGCGGCTTTGGAAGAAGAGGCTACCTGGTCGGCCTGCGGCTTATCTGGGGCACAGAGCAGGAGCGCTCAGAGAGGGAGCGCCAACGTCCTGCCCGGAGTCCCACTCTCATGGCGCTCAGGGCCAGTAATGTATGTCACTCTGACTTTTTTTAAAAGTACATTAAAATAGCCGTGGCCAGTGTGGCTCGGTTGGCTGAACATCCTTCCATGCACCAAGAGGTTGCCAGTCCAATTCCCAGTCAGGGCACATGCCTGGGCTGTGGGCTCAAGGCCTAGTAGGGGGCATGCAGGAGGCACCCGATTGATGTTTCTCTCTCTCATCAATGTTTCTCTCTCTCTTCCTTCTTCTCTCTCTAAAATCAATAAAAATATATTTTTAAAATACTACTCCTAGGTATAGACATAAAAGACCTGACAATGGGTCCCCAAACTAATACTGGCACACAAATGTTCAGAGCGGCCCTATTTACAACGGCCAAAGCAGGGAAACAGTCCAAGTGTAAATTAACAGATGCATGGATAAGCAAACTGTGGTCTGTCCATACAATGGAATATTACTCAGCCATAAAAAGGAATCCACGGATAGGTGGAACAGCAAGTTGATGTTTCTCTCTCAAAAAAAATCAATTAAGCAAAAAAAGTAATAAAGTACCGATACATGCTACAATATAAATAAACCTTGGAAACATGATACTAAGTGCAAGAAGCCAGCACAGAAGGTAAATGTTCTATGATTCCATTTGTATGAAATGTCCAGAACAGGTAAATCCATAGGCACAGAAAGCAGAGTGGTGGGTGCCTAGGACCGGGCGGGGGGGGGGAATGGGG